ATAGTAATATAATATATAATTATAGAAAATTATTATATATAATAATATATCTACTGAATGTGGTATCTGTGGCCCTGCTGAAAATTCCCATTAAAACGTTACACGGCTGAGCAATGCAACTGAAACAAATAAATGGATTGGTTAAAGGAATCTGTTTTCCAGAGAACGCTTTGACTTTTCATTTAAAATATAATTTAATGAAAATCAAATAAATGAACTTTGCTTAATCAAAAAAGCTTCCTGAGAAATTGAGGTGAGCTTTACATTTCAGATATAAATCTGTCCCTGAAATTCACTTGCGTACACACTTTTTGAAGACAGGGCTCAGTTAAGGGCCTCTGGATGATTTAAATTTCATTATTTACTGATACCCAGAAAAATTAAGTGGCTGGTATATAAGGAAAGGAAAGGCTGAAGTGAATCCATTTTTCACAGCCTGTGATGACAAAAAAGTGCCAAACAAGTACTAAATATCATCCTAGTTATTTCAATTCAAGCTTTTTGGAAAAAGTAAGGTGTTTAACACAGTAGCTATTTAAAATTGAACCCATGTTGACACAGGAGGTTTATTTTAAACTCTTGCTCAGTGTGCATGTCTCCATGAAAGAACTGCCCTTCCTACAGTTGGTATTTACAGTATTATAAGATGGGTATTATTCCTCTTCACCCTGTTTGGTTTTCCTACAAAAGCTGTTTAATCAGAGGAATGTGAGCAATTTATTCTTCTGTTATCATTGATGTACTTTTCCTATGCAAGAAGCACCATAAAATTACACATCATATAAACCAAGGATAGCTCTGCTTGTTAGTAAACACACAAAACAAAAGAACCAGCACATTTCTTAACCTGTGGTGTCCAGCCACCCAGCACGTAGAGCCTGTTCTTCACCGTCACCACCACATGGCAGGCTAACGGTACTGGAAGAGGCGCCGTGCTTCTCCAGGTGCCTTGCTCCATGGAATACTTCTGCACACAGTTTGTGACCAGAAACTGATTCTTCACTTTCATTTGCCCTCCTATTACATAGAGATCGTTATGGATAGTGCCCAATGCATAGAGTTCACGCAGCTGAGTGGTGCACAGGCTGTGCCAAAACTGGTTTCCTCGCTGGTGGTATCTGTAGGAAAATCCAAAGTTGTAAATGCCCTGGTTCACTGAGGTCCCATCAGCTTGTTTTGAAACGTCACCCCCTTCACCATCAATGTTTATTCAGACAATGGTACGATGACAAGAGGAGCTTTCTCCTTCACAGAGAAGTTATAAAATTGAGCCCAATGTTTGCAAAATCAATTTTTAGTATGAGGAATCCTGGGCATCCTTTCAAAGATATTTGACCCTATTTAAGGTAAGAAGCCCCTTATTTCTGCATGTGCTGCTCAGTCACAGTTTCCACTGAAGTTAGTGGGAAGAGCGAGAGCTCAACACTGCGGACAATAAGGCTGCTTCATCTGCCTCAGTAGGGATTTACTTCCTTAAATTTAGGCATCTGTATTTGAAAATGCTGTCACCATTTTTCAGTTTTGCCTTTAATCCAGAAAATGTCTGGTTTTCTTTAAAATGGGTGCATCTGAAAAAGACATGAGTAAAACCAGAATGAGCGTTTAAAGCTATCAATCATTATCCTTTAATCTCTGAAGTACTATCATCAACATCCACAGGGAAGTGTGTTATCTCTGTCTTACTGGACTCCTCAGGTCATTCGCTTGACTCATTTCTCCCTGCTAATGGCCTAGAAAAGAGCATCCTAGGAAAATGTTCAGATTTGAGTACGGAGAATGTAAAATCCTCATACATTGATGTAGGATCTAATCAAGCTCATTTACACTGAGATGCCACTACAGTAAATCCTCCTCCTTTCAGCAGAAAAGGCATCAGGATTTCATTGCATGTATATAATTCATTGTGCCATAAAGATCAATCGTGACAAATTGATTAGAGTAATCGAAATCTCTGGGAAAACTTTCAAGTAAAGAATGCTTCTTCTAGTGGTCTTTTTTTGTCCTCGGAAACATTATTTGGATTTAAAATTTTTAAATAATTAGGGATTTTCTGACAGAGGGTACACACCTATAAATTTCGATGTTCCTGGTCTTTTGTCTAGACATTTTGACGGCGCTTGCCTCTCCTGCCACAATAATATCATTATTCTCAGTGACAACACCAGTGCAAACACATCCTAACCCCTCTCCATACTTTGGAGAGGAAATGAAGTAAGTCTTTTGTGTCGCAGGAGCATAACAAAAACTGGCGTCTGCGTAGCTACCATGTCTTGACCTAATGCCGAGAGAATTGTTGCCGATGCAGAGTAAGAGATCAGTAGTCTCCATGCCGTATCGCAGGTTGAGAGAAGGGCGGCTGGATAGCTTGATGGTTTCCAGTGCTTCCTCAAACATATCATTGCATTCTGAGTTGCACAGGATCATTGTGTTCCTTTTCCGGGCTTCCACGAGAAAGGCAGGGCTGACAAGTACCAGTCTCACTTGCTTCAGGAGCTCGATAAGGTGCTCTACACGTGTCTTTCTGCTGTGCTTGACCCATCTAATGACGAGGTCCAGAATGCTTTCCTCCCTGGAAATATTCAGATCATCTGATTTTATGAGCGTCAACAGCTGCTGGAATTCAATCTCTAATATTTCTTCCTGTAAGCTCACCTCAGCAAAATGCTGATACAAGTATTTCCTCGCTTGATCAGATAAATCTTCTGCCCCAATGTGGTTTGCAAAGTAGTAGATGCCCACACAGTTGGAAGCATCCATATGGTCCATCATGTACTTCTGACACATACTGAAAACATCTTCCATCTGCATGAAATACGCAGCAAGCGCAACAGTCTGCACATTCTGATTAGTGAGGTGCAAATCTGCACTGTACATGTAATCGAGTATTACGGACACGCTCTCTGCAGAGATGTCGTACAGTACCACTTCTTTTTGCGTGCATTCAGCCAAGCCGCAGGTAAACATGGCTTTGAAATAGGGACTGAAGGCAGCCAGCACCACCTTATGGCAGGGGAATTTCTCACCTTCTGCAATTAGCACAACATCAGTTATCTCCGTTGATTCTTTCATTCTCTTTACTTGTTCCAATAAAGTCAAGCTATGGCGCTGCTTTCTTTTCTCCTCAGCCCTGTGATCCATGGCTGATCTCCAAACTCCCTGTTTTTAACTCTCCTCAGAATTCAAGGCCTTCATCAGGAATGTTTCTAGAGGTAGAAGCATAACATTGTCCAATAAGAACAAATTATTGGGCAAATGAATATTGCTGTTAATATCTAAGGATAGTCATTTTATAGGGTGTGATATAAATCAGTAACACATAAAAAGTATGTAAAATTGCGGTGAGGTCTCAGGCTCAGGATCTCCAAGACAAAACAAAATAAAAATCAACACTTCAAATTATCTTCAATATTCAGTAACCCCCCTACAAGTTTTGTGATTATTTAAAGAAAATTACAGACTTCCCTTCAAAACAGTCTTTTCCAGCTCCTTCTCCCTCCTTTCCCTGATCCTGATCCAGAGCCTATTAAAATCAAGGGAAAGATTTCCACTGACTTTAATAAACTCTAGGTCAGGCCCTTGGTCCCTTGGCTATTCAAGTTTTGGCTCTCACATGCACCTGAAGGAAATTAGTCCACTGCTTAGATGCTGAAAGTACCTTATATTTTCAACAGCCCCTGAGGTTAGACAGCTAGAATGGAGTACTGCCTTTTCAGTGCTCACAGCTCCTCTCAAACGAGGAGTTATGCCTAAGCAGAGACTGCAGAAAAGGGTTTTTACAAGACTAAAAAAATGGAAAAACATTAGACTTGCTCCTCTCATTAGTTTTTACAGTGATCTACACTTCTGCAAAGCAGGTGGGAAATAAACCCACTAGTACAACCCAGTTCACTGGCATTTTGCAGAGGTGTAAGTGGACATGTGGATGTCTAATATTCTGCCTTACCACCAGACTCGGCTACCAGTTTGCAGAACGGTTTTGATTCAAAAGCCCTGGGCTTACACCCTTGCAAAGCAGTTGGGAAGGCTGCCGCCTCGTTACTCTACCAATGGATTTGTCTCTGCCCCATCACGCCCCGCTTTACCAGTAGCTTTCTCCCCAGGCTTCAAGCTGAGAGAGTCAAGACAATGTTGCGGGCAGAGACAGCTTCCATCCCTGAAATATGGTGGCAGAATTGGCAGGACACAACTCGGTCCAATTGGCCAGATTCTTTACCCTTTCACACCAAAGTGTAGGTCACCGGTTTCTGCAGAGTTGCTACTGGTTTGCTTTGGGATAAATAAAGGATTAGTAAATAGGGGCCAGCTTTCGAGCTCTCCTCCCGCTTCTCAGCGGGATGTTTAAGTGCTACAGATTCACAGAGGTTTGGTTCCACTTACTGTAAGTCAAATGGGATTTTTAATTAAATTATAATTATTCACATACTCCCTCTAGTTTTATTTTCGGGGGAAACAGAAGGAACCCATTTCTGAGGTTTTCGGGGAGGGGGGGCCTTTACTGAACCTCCCTGGCTTTCAGACCAGCAAGCTGCAGAATGTGAGGTACAGTGGTGGAGCTGTCCGTGGGAGAACGGCGTTTACCCATCACTGGGGGATACCAGTCCTCGACACAGGTTTTGTCTCTGATGTGGTAATGAGACAGTTCTGTTGTGGAAACGTATTTAGGACTCATGTCATGAATCACCAATACACAAACAGGTCCTAAAGCTGTGGTGTAACCATGTTTGAAACACATTGTAAACATGCTATGAATTAATGAATTAATGCTTAATGAGACTATTCAAATGAGTAACATTCCTCACCAGCTTAAATATTTGCAGGGTTAGGGTCTTGTATGGCAGATTGAACTGGTTTTCTCAAATCCTGGAAGCACAAAGAGTAGTCTTAGTTTCATTAAAGAAATATGTATCAACATAAAAAATGTATATGTGTATGAAATTCTCTGAAATCCACCTAAAGGTATTTTCACGAACAGTCCAGATTTCTCTACAGATCTAGACGGATGGAGTTTTTAAAAAAATTATAGTTATTTCTCAGGTGAAAAGGAAAGCTGCAGCTATATCATCAATCTCAGACCTACTCTTTTTGCTGTTCAGTTGTTTTTAGAAGTAGTCATCATTCTGTTTTAGCAAATTACATAGATTCCTCACTTTGAGTGCTAAATTAAAAGCCAGGCATGCTTGAAGACTAGCATTTCCTTGATTTTATCAATTCTTTCCATATTCCAAATCTGGAACTAGAAGCAACAAATCTGAGAAATGAATCTGGGTTATTACCAGATTTTAAAAATGGATTTGGAAGACAAAACACTAACTTCATAGTCTGAACATGAGCCAAGCCAAGCTTTGAGCTCTTCTTATGGTACTTTTAAAAACCAATCAAAGGCAGTAAGTTTAGTACAAAAAATAAAGTGATGGTATTTCCAAAATCTAGAACAACTTTTTTTTTTTTTTTTTTTTTTTAGCTGGCTACATTGAAATTAAATACTGCATTTGAGAAAACGTAGGTCTTAATCCTGCATCGACTGCCTCTGGAGCAGTCTTTACAGTCAGTAGAACCCTTTTACAAGATAAAAAAATGTTCTTTTTTTTAATCCTACATGATAATTAGATGGCCAGATTATTGTTTTCCCCTTGTGCTATTTTATCACCTTGTAATATTTGATCTTCACTGCATTTTGATAAAGGAACCACACCCCATCTCAAAGATGATGTATTATAAGCACACATATCTTAAAGCAGACGAGCTGTTGTTCTGAACACCAGGTTCAGTCTCCAACGGGATGAAAGTGTTAACAACTACCAACAGGACCCCAATCCTGTTTAGCAATCTGACTAAGCAGGGTTTTTCCTCCGAAATGATCAACTTCTCTCCTTTCTCTTTTGTGATGTCAGAGCTTCACACATCCTCCAGCTTTTCCATAATGGACAAAATGTGCATTTTTAATGTGAAGAACAAGTGAGATGATTAATCATCATCATCTTTCCCAGACTTTTGTACAGATCAGGAAGCAGCAGTGTGTAGAACTGAGTTATGATTTCACTTCCTTTGCTGGTCACCTTTAAGTTTTCTTTCACTGTTAATTTAGCGTTCTTAAGAGCAACGCTTTGTCTTTGATTACACCGTTCATCAGATTGGTGAATTTTGTGTGTTCATTTACCAGTGATTAGGCTATCTGGCACAACATGCTCACAGCCGTTTTCTCCTCTCTTTCATCATTAAGACGTTAGCAATAGGAATCTTAAAACGTGATGTAGCTCATGCCATTTACGTACTACTTTAGGCACAAATTATCTGATGGATAAGTCTTGCCCCCCCCAGCCAGTCGAAGGGCACTGCCCATCTGCACCCAGCGCGGGGTGGTCTCCTCTGCCACCCACAGAGCTGGTGGGTCGGCTCTGGGCATCCTCCCCGGGAGCAGCAGCAGAGCTACGTACGGCCTGTGGGTGGTAGATGGGGTGGCCTCCCCTCTCCTGGCGCTGGTCCGTACCCAATCATCACCCCACCCTTGGGCTGAATTGGTCAAGGAGTCTCCAGCCTGCAGTCAGGACCCCTGCAACCCTCCAACCTCCTCTTCGCCCGCCTCGCTGAGCTCTGCAGTGCGGCGCTGCTTCCCCAGCCAGAGCTACAGGCAGAGCTTGGTTACCTTACGCTTTCAAGAAGACGGTATTTGCCTTTCCTGGTAAGGATGCCCCTTCTTCATCTCCTTACTTTGAGAGCACACCAAGCTCCTGCCTGAACTGTACGCAATAGAATTGTGCTGTCGACTTGTATGCAAGTCTACTTTCTCCATCCTACAGCTGAGGAAACTGAAGCTAAAAGGTTAAAAAGAAAACAGGATTAAAACCCAGGGGTGAAATCCTTTCATTAACTTCAGAAATTCATCCCTGTGCATTAGCTACAAACTTGTCACTCCCCTCCTGGCTTTTAGTGGTGTTTAGGTGAGGTCATTGGAAGGATATTAATATTCTCCTTTATATCGCTGGAAAGACTATTAAAGGGTAATAATGAAATGGTGCTGCTTTGCTTTCCCCTCTGGGTTACAGAGGAAAAAAGATGGTACGTTGATATTAAAAGAAAGGATAAATGTGACACAAATATAATTTGCAGTGAGACACTATACTGAGATTGTGCCAGAGGCTGGTTTGTCATTAGAAAACCTCCAGTGCAAGGCTCAAATCCTCTGTAATGTCATCAGGAGCTGAAATCAGAGTTATTGCCTTATGCAGAGTTTTTTGGATATTTTTTTCTGTTTGTGAAAAATGGATTCAGGTGCAAATCTTCATTTGATGTTACTTTATTTCAGAGCCAGGCTGTTAATTTTCCTCCAGTTCTGTCTGCTACTTTGATTTTTATATCAGCTGTTTTGCTAGTCTAATTTAACTTTTTTTTTTTTTTTTTGCCTTTGTGTCATGAACCTTATGAGGAGTCATATATAATTTTATGCAGGAGCTACAGCATACGTTTTGCAAGGTGGTAGGGTGCTGCATGAGCAGTTCAAAACATAAATAAGCGCACTGCTGTGAGCTCAGCTCTACAGCTTTTATGAGGCTATCAAACTATAAATAAATGCTGTCCTCAATTCGTTATGCTGCAGCTTCTCTGAACTGCCCCAGCGCAAAGGGACTGTAAACCAGATGGAAGTATCTCATCAGGAATTTCCCTTAACCTCTCGAAAAAAAAAAAAGCTACCTTGTAATTAGAGACATTATTTTGTCTGTATTTTTGTCTGGGACATAGATTTTTCTTGTCTTTTCCGCCAGTCCCAAGGAATCTGCTCTTTCCTGCACCGTGGTGGGAGGGTGGGAGCTGCAGGACCTGGCCCAGAAGAGGTCACAGCACCCAGCATGGGGCAGCGGCGGGGGGCACCTCCCCACCCTCCTCTTCCTCCTCTGCTTTTTTTTTCCTTCTTCTCTGCCTTAATGAGGCTGCCCTGGCTTCAGCCTGCCTCCTTTCAGGTGCTGAAAGGATCAGGGTTCAGTCACATCAAAGAACCGGTGCCTCTGCCTATGAATTATTTGTGTTTCCTTTGTTATCAGTGAGCTGAGAAGCAAATCTGTTAATTGTATGCGTTATGACATTTGGCTGACAGCCACAGCGAGGCAGAAATCAGTACCCAGATGATAATAATGTTATAATCT